TTTTAGAGTAAAATTGGGCCTGCGAGTACGGGAGGTCGGGCGAGGAGCGGCGGGTGCTTGCTAAGAGCTAGCTAGAAAGAGACCGATTCGTCGCACTTCTCTTGCTCCAAGCGCTTGCGCTTCGGCGGTTAGTGGTGCACTAACCTCCGAGAAACCCGTCGGTCGCTCCTTTCCTCTCTATCTACATCGCAAACCCTGTCAGCAGAGTCCTCCTACGGGAATGTACGTAAGAGCCACATACAACGAAGAACGGGAGCTAGATAGAGAGAACAAACAAACAAACAAACCCGGCCGAGTCCCTGCTGCTCAACCGCAGGTTCGCTCGACTGCGCGCTTGGCGCGTCCAGTCTTCAAAAAAAGAAAGAAGACACATCAGCCCGTGATCGGTCGTCTCGTGCATCCGGGCGAGCGGGCCGGCACCACGAGGGGCTGGCATCATGCTCACCTCTCCCTCACGCTCACCTCCCCCGTTGGGCTGCACGAAGTAGCGCTTCTCCCCCTCCGGACCATCAGGGGCATCGCGGGAGAGCGTGATGGCAAACGTCCGGCCCGGCTGGGCTTCAAATCGTGCAGCGAAGTCTGGCAGGACGTTTGACGGCGCGGAGGCAGCCATGGCTTCAACTGGCACCGGGAGCGTCTCCGTCAGACCTATGGTCGCCCCGTTGCTCGACCCATACTTTGCCCGTTTCGAATCGAGGATCTTGTTGTCGAAACGGATAGAGTTGCTGCCAAAGCCCTGGACACGCCCGCTCTGCAAGAAGGTTGGGCAGGCTGCGCGGAGCGATTCGAGCGCTAGAGCTTCCGCCGTCGATCGGTCGCGGAGAGCCCCGCCGTCGAAGCTGGCCGCAAACGTCTCGTGCAGGGTCATGCCGCGACGCGGCGTAACCGACCGAGGCGCGAAATGGTAGTTCTTGAAAAAGAGTGAGCTGATGACCCTTCGGATCGCTCCTCATCGCAAACCCCGTCAGCAGTCCTCCTCCGGGAATGTACGTAAGAGCTACATACACTGAGAGAGTACGTACACTGCAAAAAAAAAAGATGATACACTCCCTGTCTGGCTAGCCCCAGCCGACTCCGCGTGAACTCTCGAGGGATCTCGAGTTGCGAAGCCTGCTGCTCGGTGGACGAACTCTGTTCAGCGGGATATTGCTTTTCTCCGTGCGACAAAGCATGCACTGGCCGATTCGGCTACGCGCGCTTGGGTTCCCGTCAGCGGATCAGTTTACCGCGACCGAACGCGAGCTATTTGCTCTCGCATCGTGGCTAGAGGACACGCACATTCGCCAGCTCCCACCAGAGGAACGAGGCGGACTGCGGCAGGGCTCCCACGTCGCGCTCGAGGCTTACACATCTGAGCTGGTCGCGCCCGGCTGGGTAGCGTCAGCTCTGCAGGGGCGCGACTACGCGGCCGTGTGCTCGTGGCTCGTGTGTCTCGCATTGCAGTACGCTCATGAGGAGCAGTGCGGCGCGAGCGAGGCTGGTGCTACAATCGATGAGAGCGACTCTCAGCTCGCTGGCCTCGCGGGAGCGCTCGGCGTCGAGGTTGCTGGCGGCGCCGCCGCAACGTTGCGCCGCGCGGCTGACGCGGCGCGCGCGCGGCCGTCAGCGGCCACCGCCGAGCCGGCGCCAGAACGCGACACGGCTGGCCGTAGTGGCGCCCTGCGTGCCTTGCCTCTCGGGTTTACCACGGGCGATGCCTTGCTCGACGACGCCGCGCGCGTGCTGCGTCTTCTGTACGTGGCGGACCTGCAGCGGCTGCAGGAAGGCGCCACCCGCGTGGTGGAGCGGCTGCAGGAGTCGTCAGCCAACCCACGGACAGAGCAGCGCTTGGGTCGTGTCGGTCGGTAGAGACTAACGAGCCGTATAGACATGAGTGACATGAGACTGGAGAGCGTTGCGTCTCATACATGGAAATCTCTGCGCAACATCGGAAGATCCTTGGACTGTAGATCGTAGATGCCTTTTAGAGATCTCTTAAGTGGCAAATCTCCTGCCAAGAGCTGCAGTAGATTGAAGAACTGGTGGAGGCAAATCTTCTCCGGTGTAGATGCTCGAGAGGAGTCTGAGATCTCGCGTTTGGTGCGTGCAGTCGCTTGAGATCTTGCGACAGAGGTGGAGATTCTGACTTCGCGCCGAAGGCGCCTAGAGATCGTGTGGGCCGACTGGAGATTGCAAAATGGCGCGAAAAGAGGGTGGAGATCCTTTTGCATTGTGAATGAGTCCATAGCGCATCTCCTTGAAGGTTTGAGCCCCCCTCCTCCCCCGGGCCCCCGAATCGACAGTGGAGATTGGAGATTGGAGATGGAGATCGGAGATCTGACTGAATCCGGCCTAAGATGACGACGTTGGAGATTGGAGATTGAAGATGGAGATCGGAGATCTGACTGGATCCGGCCTAAGATATAGCGACGCTGGAGATTGGAGAGTACTGGAGAGATGGAGATCGGAGCCCCCCAGCCCCTAGTGGTGTCTCATCGATTTTTTTGTTTTGTTTTTAGATATAGGTCTGCGCACGGCCCACAGGAAAAAACAAAAATCTATAAAACATCTATCAACGCCACTAGGCTCTAGGGGGTGGGTGGGCTCCGATCTCCCCATCTCCAATATTCTCTAATCCACAGCGTCGTCATCTTAGGCCGGGGATCCAGTCAGATCTCCGATCTCCATCTTCAATCTCCAATCTCCAACGTCGTCATCTTAGGCCGGATCAGATCTCCGATCTCAATCTCCAATCTCCAATCTCCAATCTCGATTCGGGGGCCCGGGGGAGGAGGGGGCTCAAACCTTCAAGGAGATGCAATTTGGATTCATTCACACTGACCATCTCTCATCTCCAATCTCCAATCTTCTACTTGGCCACTGTCGCCGCCGGCAGCAATCTACGACCTCCATTTTCAATCTTCGATCTCACATCTGGGGCGGATGGCTGGGCGCTAGGATCTACAATCTGCATTCTCCATCTCCTATCTCCACATTTTGGCCCTGTTGCTGCTCAGAGCGATCTGCAATCCACAATCTCAATCTTCGATCTTTAGTCTTGAATGGGGAACCGGACAGGACGGATCTACTGGCGAGACTTGGGCGTGTCCGTGTGAGAGATCCGCTAGGATCTCCAGTCTCAATCTACTATCTCTACCCCAACGATCTACTGGTCTTGCGCAGAGATTTCCATTACTCTTGCGTCTCAAAACTTACGCTTGACGCTGTGCATGCGTGTGTGTAGCGTGCATAAAGCCTCTCTCGGTCTGGGCCTCGGCAGCGCACACTGAGCGCACACGCCAGTGGCCCACTGCCAGTGCGGGGCGCGCGGGCTCCGACGGGTCGTTCCAGGTAACCAATCATAGATTCCTCCCACCGGCTCATCTGCCGCTACACCAGCGGCTCCCACCCAGGGAACTCAGCGAGCGAGTCGGCGTCGCACGGCCGCGCGTCGAGCCACACCGGCTCCGGCTCGCCCTCCTTGCCTGCCTCGAACGGCACGGCGTCGCTGCACCGGCGCACGATCTGCTCGGGCCACGGAGAGCAGACCTCGCGCCGCACGAGGCCGTCCCAGTCGACGCCCTCGAAGAAGGGGTGCGACCGCACCTCGGCCGCGTCTCCGCCGCCGCCGCCGAGTCGCTTCGAGGGAGCCCCGACCAGGAGCTGGCTCACGAGGTCGCGCGTGCGGCCGGCGGCATGCGCCTCGATGCAGGGCGGGTACGCGATGACGCGAGGGCGGGCCATGATGCGCTGCACGACCGCGAAGTGCGACTCCGCCTCGAAAGGCGTGCAGCCGACAGCGACCTCGTACAGCAGGACGCCCAGCGCCCACCAGTCGACTGCGGCGGTGTAGCCCTTGCCGCGGAGAACCTGCGGGGTTTGGGCTAGGTGCACCTGGGGTTGGGGTCCGGCGTTCGGGTCCGGGCTGGGTGTCTGGTCCCCAGCTTTGAAACACCTCTGGCGCGAGGTAGACGGGGGTGCCTAGGGGAGAATTCCAAGGAGGCTCCCAGACGGAGCTCCGCACACCGGGCCCCGGGCGCGGAGGTGGACAAGGTGCCGCACACGGTGAGGGTGGGGCCGTGCAGCTCCTTGGAGAGGCCTACGGGGAGGGGTCCGAGATGAGGGGAGATTGGCCGAGATTGGCCGAGATCGAGCTCCGTGAAGAGGCCTACGGGGAGGTCCGAGAGAGCTCACGGGCAGCTGCGAGAAGTGCCCCCGGAAGAGGTGCTTGGGAGATGCCAAAGTCACACAGCTTGACGTAGCCGCGCGTGTCGAGCATGAGGTTCTCCACCTGGAAGGAGAGATGGCCGAGATACAGCCGAGATGAAGCGAGGTGTAGCCGAGGTGTAGCCGAGGTGTAGCCGAGATGTAGCCCGCGTCGAGCATCCGGTGCTCCACCTTGAGGTCGCGGAAGGCAATGCCTGCAGGGCCAGCCGCGGACACGTCACGGAGATGGCGCGGGAGACATCCTGCCGCCTCGAGAGGGAGGCGGAGCCGTGATCGTGCAGGAAGCCGACCCCGAGGCAGACGCACGCGCAGAGGAAGCGGCACGGCTCCGCGTCGAGGCAGCGCCTGCCGGCCAAGTCGTGCGCTTGATGGCCGCGTGTCGAGGACGTGTCGAGGACGCGTGGTGGACGTGTCTGGACGCGGCTCGGAGAGGGCGCGCCCGTGCGCGGCGAGGAGCGACTCGAGGTCGCTGGGCAGCAGCTCCAGCGCGAGGTAGAGGTGGGCGGCGCACTGGCGGAAGGCGAGGGCGCGGCAGGCGAAGGCGGCCGGCTGGTCGCGGCAGCAGGCGAGCACCTCGCGCTCGCTCGCCACCATGCGACAGCCGTCCTGCTGCGACCGCACCTCCGCCTTGCGCAGCACCTTGAGCGCGTGCGGCGAGGGCGAGGGCGAGAGATTAGGGCGAGGGAGTAGGGTGAGGGAGTAGGGTGAGGGAGTAGGGTGAGGGAGTAGGGCGAGGGAGTAGGGCGAGGGAGTAGGGCGAGGGAGTAGGGCGAGGGAGTAGGGCGAGGGAGTAGGGCGAGGGAGTAGGGCGAGGGAGTAGGGCGAGGGAGTAGGGCGAGGGTAAGGGCTCGGGGGGGGGGGGGGGGGAGCACCTTGATTGCGTAGCACTCGCCCGACGCCGCGTCGTGCACGCGCCACACCACGCCAAAGCTGCCGCTCCCCACCACGCCCTCGGGGGCCGCCTCTCTCCAGACGATCTCTTGCTCGCTCCTCGCCGGCGGTGGCCCCTCCCCGTCCGCCAGGTCCGCCGCAGACGAGTCCCCCGCCGTGGCGTCCATGTGCAGAGCGGCGGCTGGCTCGGTGAGCGGCGGAAGCAGCGAAGACATACTGATGCGGGGCCGCTGCGACGCGATGGAGAGGCGGCTGAACCTGCGCCCCGCACTCGTATCGGAGCCGAGGGCGGAGCGGAAGGAGGCGGTGTCGCTGGAGCTCTCGGCGAGAGCACGCCTAGCATCCGCCACATCGACGTCCACATGCCGCCACTCTGCACCGAACCTCGCCGCGAGATCGCCGGATGGAGAGAGCGGAGAGGCGCTGGAGAGTGCCGGAAGCCGAGCAGCCTGCGAGCAGAGGCTCGCCCGTGAGTGGTGCGTGACGGAAGTTATGCCGGCGGGAGGAAGGAGGTTCCGACGGTGGCGGCATACGACACGTCTCCGCCGAGCAGCGCCTCCTCTCCAACGTGATCGCCACGGACGAGCAGCCGCTGGCCAGCCTCGGCGCCATCGCCCGCGCCGCAAATCTCAAACGTGCCGCTGGCCACAACGTACAGGTGCAAGGCAGGCTCGCCTCGCTGGAAGACCATGGAGCCGGCCTGAACCTCGAGCGGTGCCGCCGAGGCGGCGAGCGCCGCAACCACCGACTCATCGAGGACAGTCTCGCACGCCGATGACTGCAGCAGCGAAGTAGCAGACACGAGTGCGGCAGCCACGGACGAGCGATTGGTGGGCATGTCTGTAGGCATGTCTGTGGGAATCACCAGCTCGAGTGGCGCCTCCATGATCCGCTCGGTGGTGCTGGCTCGACGTTTTAGCCGCTGCCTGAGGCTTCTGCGCCTGGCCTTCAGCTTCGAGGCGAACGTGACAGCTGACAGTGCAGCACCCATGCTGCAGTCGTCGTCTGCAATCATTGTGTTGGGGTCTCGTCGCGTGAGCTCGTGGGGTCTCCTCGCGTGTTCGCGCCGAAAAACATAATAGATATATCGTCAACGCGAAAAAGAATTTTACAATCGCCCTCCCTCGCACAACACTGGGCACGGGACTGGCTCGCACTGGCACTAACACAGGTTTAAATACTCTCACAGCGAAAAAGAATTTATTAAATACGCCCTATCTCACAGCAGACAGGCTCGACACAGGTGCGGACTGGCGCGTGCTAGCACTATCACAGGCAAACCTACGCGAAAAAGAATTAGAGGGCGCGGCGCCTGACTCAAAAGACACAGCCGCATTCCTGACATCCTGAGACGCGCGAGGGCAGCCTCCTTGAAGGCAATGGCCAATGGGGGCTAGATTTGGAGCGCTCACCGAAACGTTTGCATCAATTGCGATGATAGCAGAGGCCGGTTTTTCTCAGTGTACTTTAGGCCGGTTTTTCTCAGTGTACTTTACCTTAATGGGAGAAAAGGGAGAATCGGGGTGTGACTCTAGGCCCCTAAAGGCCCTAGACGCGCGGGCGTGAGAGCTCCGGAAGCGAGGTTTGCACGGCTCTCTCTCTCTCTCTCTCTCTCTCTCTCTCTCTCTCTCTCTCTCTCTCTCTACGTCTCTCTCTCAGTACAGATAGGTTGCTCTTACGTACATTCCGGAAGGAGGAAGACTGCTGACAGGGTTTGGAGACACGCAGATTTTCTTCTTCTTGGGTTGGGCGGTTTTTGAGGAGGAGCGACTCCGAAGCGGGGGATTTTTTTGCGCTTAAAATTCTTTTTTCGGACAAATATAATGCGCGCACCCTCGTCTCGAGGCGACGTTCTGCGCTGCGGACATATATGGGCCCTTCTGGACCCTCCTCCCCTATCCCTACCGGTGGCTAGACTGAGGGATTCTTTTGACAAACACATGTTATTCCTCGTTGCGGCCGGCCTGGCGCCGCCGCGGCTGGTGGCGCCGCCGCGGCTGGTGGCGCCGCCGCGGCTGGTGGCGCCGCGCCGCGCCTATGCGCCGCGCATGACCGCGACCGACGTCTCGGAGGCCGCGGCCTCGGCCGCGATTCCAGCGAGCACCAACGTCTTTTGCAACCGGGCACTCAACCTCGGCGGTGCGATTCACCAGAGACACGTGTATGCCATCCTCCGCGGGCCCCTCCTGCCTCACTGCCGCGGCGCGGCTGCTGCGCCTCAGGCATTCAGGCGGTGGGCTTCGACATGGACTACACCCTCGCCGAGTATGTTCCCGAGACGTTCGACCTCCTCGCGTACGACGGCGCGATCGAGAAGCTCGTCAACACGATGGGCTACCCGGCTGCGGTGCTTGATCTCGTGTACGACCCGCACGCGTACATGCGCGGGCTCGTCATCGACAAGAAGCGAGGCAACCTCCTCAAGCTCGACCGGCACAAGTACGTCAAGGCTGGCCGCCAGCCTCGCCTCGCCTCCTCCCTCCCGCTCGGGACACTCGAGCCCGCGCGCTCGTGCAGGTTGCGTACCACGGCCTGAAGCGCATGACCCCGGAGGAGCGCAAGGCCATCTACGCCACCTCCTTCGAGACGGCGCCCGCCTTCACGCCGCCCGACTTCTCCACCATCGACACCGCCTTCCTCCTCGTCGACGCGTGCCTGTGCGCTGCCGGCCGGAGGGAGGGAGGGAGGGAGGGGAGGGACTGCTCACCGCGCGCCTCGTCCCGCCGTAGCTTCTGCCAGCTGGTCAGCTACAAGGACGACCACCCCGACGAGGTCAGGCCCGGTAGCGAGCGAGTCGGCCGAGAGGAGCCGGCGGCACAGAGGAGCCGGCCGCCGGCAGAGAAGGGCGAGAGGGGAGAAAGAGGGAGAGAGTGTAGAGGCGCCGCAAGAGGCTCGTCACGTGCGGTGCCGCCCGCCGAGCAGGTGACCAAGTCGTACGAGCAGATCTACCGCGACGTGCGGCGAGCAGTCGACCTCTGCCACTGCGATGGCGAGACGCAGCCGAGATGCAGCCGAGATATAGCCGAGGCCGAGCTAGAGTCGGCCGCTGCACGGCGTCACCAAGGGCGCGCGCTCGCCATCCTCTCGCTTCGACGTCCGTTGACGTTTGGGTCGTGTGGAGTGAAGGCGTCATCAAGGACGCAGTCGCCGTCAACCCGGCTAAGTACATCCGGTCGGACCCAGCCCTCGCGACGATGCTGACCGCGCTCAAGCAGGGCGGCAAGCAGGCGGGCCGCGCCGAGTCGCGCCGGCCTTGCACGCGGCCTGCCCCCCGCGCCACCGCCCGGCCAGCCACCGCCTCTGTTCTCTTCCCTTCTCTTCTCCTCTCCTCTCTTCTCTTCGCCAGCCACCGCGTCTGTTCTTCCCTTCCCTTCTCCTCTCTTCTCTTCTCTTCGCCAGCCACCGCCTCTGTTCTCTTCCCTTCTCTTCTCCTCTCTTCTCTTCTCTTCGCCAGCCACCGCGTCTGTTCTCTTCCCTCCAGGCGCTCTTCGACTCGCGTGCCGCAGGGACCTGCTCGGCAGCCGGTCGGCAGCTGGTCTGCGCCTGTGAGTAGGTCTTCATCGTCACGAACTCCCTCTACGACTACACGGACGTCGTGCTCCGCCACTTGCTCGGCGCCGTTGGCTCTCGATTGCCTCGACCTCCTCGGTGCGTTTGCCGATCAGCGTCTCTGGTCCACTAGGAGCCAGCTGGCTCGACTACTTCGACCTCGTCGTCTGCGGCGCGCGCAAGCCCGGCTTCCTCCTCGACCCGTACCTGCCCATCTTCCAGGCGCGCGACACCCCCCCCCCGACATCACCAGAGATGCACCGGGATGGACCGAGCTTCAAGACTTGTACAACAGCCCCTCGCCTCCCTCTTCCGACCCCGCGCCTCCCCCTCCGCCGCCCTGCCAGGTGCGGCAGGACGGCTCGCTCGAGAACGCGGAGATCATCAGCCCGCAGGACGGCGCGCGGCTGCTGCAGCGCTCGCGCGTCTTCCAGGGCGGAAACTGGCAGCACCTGCATGCGCTGCTCCAGCTCGCGTCCGGCTCGGGGCTGCTGTACGTCGGCGGCCGCAAACCGCGCGGGTCTCGGCTCGTTTGCCCGCCTCCCCCCGCACCTCCTCTCCCCCCCCCTAGGCGACCACATGTACTCTGACATTCTCCGCTCCAAGCGGACGCTCGGATGGCGGACCCTGCTCATCGTGCCCGAGCTGCATTATACTAATTATAATTATTACATATTCTTGTTTAAGGCGGACCCTGCTCATCGTGCCCGAGCTGCGCGACGAGCTCCTCACGGCCGAGGACCAGCCGCACCCCGGGAGGCGGCCGATCTCGGCTCGATCTCGGCTCGATCTCGGCTCGGTCTCGCTACAGGAGACGCGCCACCTCGCCGCTGCCGTCGACGAGGCGTACGCCGAGCGGGCGGCTGTCGAGGCTCTAGCCTCGGGCGGCTCGAGGATGCGGCCTTCGTCTCGCTCAGCGGGGTGGTGGGTGGAGGGGTAGGCGCGGCTGCAGCACCTCGAGATCCGGCGCTCGCAGCTCGAGATCGACTCGGAGGTGGAGGCGCTGCTCGAGGGCGACGGGGGGGCGGCCAAGGCGGAGGCGCTCTCCGAAGAGGAGCGCGCGGAGCTGCTCGAGCGGCTGGGCCCCCCTCACGTCCGCCTGAGCGCGGCCTCGTCTGTTGCAGGCGCTGGCCGAGCTGGACGAGCGGATAGCGGAGGCGCGCGACCAGCAGCGCGTGCTCTCCTCGGCACTGAACGAGGCTCTCTGCCGGCAGCACGAGGCCTACCACCCCGCTTGGGGGCGCCTGTTCAAGACGGGCGCCCAAAACTCGCGCTGGGCGCAGCAGGTGCAGGAGTACGCGTGTCTGTACACCTCGCACGTCACCAACCTCGTCCAGTTTGCGCCGGACACGTCTTTCCGCGCGCTCTCCGACCTGATGCCGCACGACCGCGCCCCGCCGGCTTGAGCTTGGGCGAGAGCGCGGCTGTGACGCCTCTCTCGAGCGGACGACGACGTGTGTGAATTGTCGCACACAATTGCACCGTGTGGAACGGGCTAGCTCAAGGTTGCCTTAGATTGTCAATGGAGAATGGCCGCGTTCTCGCCCCTTTCCTGTACGCGTGGGTCTCAGAGGACGAATGCGCACCGGATCTTTGAGGACTTCAAAGTCGGCCGCGCCCCACGGCTATCCCGCCGGCTCTCGAGTGTCGCAGCGCGACGCGCTTCACCCCTCGACGTCCGCGCTGCGAGTCGATCTCTGGAGACGACGCTCGGCCACCGCCAACTCCACCCTGACGTGACGCACATGCGCCGCGTGTCCCCCCTGAGGGTGTCCTTGTATAGTATAGTTGGTTGCGAGTTAAAAAAAGCCCGTTCCGCACCCGCACCCAGCACCAGTACACATGCCGTTCTGGCGCCCCTCGGCTGGCCAGAGGACGACTCACAATGCAAATTCGGAAAGACATCACGAGGGGCCGTATAAACGGTGCCGCAGCGGCCCGGGACACTAACAGTGAGTTGCTGCCACTCGCCCGGCCTCCTCCCCCTCGGGGTCGCCCGGAAAGTGGGCTTGCGCACCGGCGCCCCCCCCAGCACGCCGACCCGAGGTGTACCCTCCGGCCACCTGGGAGGGGAGCGGAGTCCGATTTTGGCCCATTGGCTTCATCATGATGGATACGGAGGTGGCCAGCCCTTGGTTGTGCACCTGCGGCGCGAATAGGAGGTGATCTCGGCGGACGACGGCCATGCCGAGAGCGGGTGCAGCGCGGAAGAGGGTGCGCAGCGCGTCGCGGCCGCGCGCATGGGAGCCGGGGGGATGGCCGGAGGGGGCGGGACGCCTGCATGTCCTCGAAGCTCCCAGCCGCATACGCAAGCCGAGCCGCGAACGGCGGGGAGGGAGTTTTGGAGGGTCAGCCAAGGACGCGCATGGCGAGTGACAAACTAACGCAACCTCCCCCGTACCTGGTTTCTCATCGTGTGTACAGATGAAAGAAAGACACAACCCATCAAGAGACAAGACCACAAAAGACAAATAAATAAATAAATAAAACGGACACCTCTACTAGGAGATGGGTAAAAAGGAACAGGTCCCCGCCCTGCGGTCTTTGTGCAGGGTTCTTTGTGGGTGTGGTCGGCGACTAGCCGGGGTCGTCCTCCCGATACCAAGACCCCGATACAAGACCACAGAGGCACAACACAAATTGATTTTGTACGTACACTAGGCAGGGTCGACAGCACTGTCAGCAGGGTCGCCAGTTAGCAGTTTCAGCAGACGTACTAACAGAAAAAACAAAGTGAAAGTGACCTGTTGTCACACTCACAAAAATGCGCGTTTGCGGCTTGCCTGTGCTCTCGGCCGCCTCGCTGAGCGAGACCGAGCGCGGTGCTGGTGGCGCCGACACTGCCGATCCGTCGAGCACTTCGACGGCTGCTCAACCAATGAGAGTCGGCAGCGCTGCCTCTGCGGCTGGTGCGCCTGCACAAACCACGCCAAGCGACTGCAAACTGGGCGCAAACCTGTCTGGCAATGCTCTGGGCGAGGATGTCAATGTGGAAACCACTCGAGTCCTTCAGCTTGATCCTGCCTCGACGGCTCGCACCGCAAACGCGGGTCCTGCACTTCCTCGCGGTGCTGGCATCTCTGCGCTGCGCCATATTGACGCCAATAACTCTGCTTTCAACATGCTCAACGAGGCGCTGCCCTCTGCACGGCTGACCTAACCTGTGCTGCTGCTGCTGCTGCTGTTGCAGCTGATGCTGCTCCTGCTACCCTCCCGCCCGCCCACCCTGCCCGCCCGCCCTGCCCGCCCGCTCGTAAGGGGTCTTCACCTTCACACTGGTCTGGCCACAGGTGGGCAACCTTCCCGTCGAAGGTCAAGCGGTCTCAACTTCGCGCTCTACTGCCCGCCCTCGCCCTCGCCTACCGCCTCCCGCCTCCGCCCGCCGACCCGCCGCCAGCTCGTCCGCCAACCCGTCGTCTCTGTCGCCTCTCGCCCGCCCGCCATCGCCCTCGCCTTTCACCTCCCGCCGCCCCCCGCCGACCGCCACGCCAGCTTGCCTGCCGCCCTGTCGTCTCGCCTGTCGCCTGCCCGCCCTCGCCGCCTCTCGCCGACGACCACGCCAGCTTGGCCGCCGCCCTGTCGTCTCGCCTATCGCCCGCCCGCCCTCGCCCTCGCCCCCTCCTCCCGCCACCACCCTCGCCTCACCCTCCCGCCGCCTCGCCG